CAAGGGCGTAGGCAGAGGGGGGCCGTTGAAATATGTTTCCATATAAAGTTGACAACACGTTTATTATTATGACGCACTATTTCGCCTGGATATGCGTTGGATTTGTTGAAGTTTTTTCATTGATTATATGCATAAATTATTTTTTAAATGCATTATTGAATCAAATTTTAATTTTTTGGCCCCGCCTTTGGTAAAAGCTGGTTACGCCCTTGTATATATCTGTTAAAAATATATCTCATAAAAATGTGCATGGTTTTCTACATACCTTTGTTAATAATTCGTTTCACCTTTGCCGAAGTGTAATTACATATAAATTATGAGCTAACTAATTAATTGAGTTGAAGAATTTGCTGGTCCCAAACTCATGCTTTATTCACACAATTTTGTGAGTGTGTAGGCGTGTAGGTGTGTGTATGTATATCCTTACTTAGCTTGTGGTTGTCGTCTCTACCATTTGTCTGCCAGAAAAAAGGAAGCATTTTCGTTTCCATTGCCACTTGCAAATATTTGCAGCTCGTGTTGTTTAACCCCAACATCGACAACGTCATAACCCGCGGCAGGACAATTTAAATTTTTAATTACGCATCAAATCAACGGAAATTATGAATTATATGAATGGGCAAGTCATGTTGGTTAGTTGGTTGGTTAGTTGCTTTGGTCGCTCTCCTTATGCTATCCTTGCAGCATTAGCTCGATTATTTGTCCTTCTGCCTGTCTGGCATTGTTTGCGCAAATGGCAGCTGCTGCCTGGCTGCGTGGCTGTTTCTGTTTCTGATATTCCTGATCTGTGGATCAATGGATCGCTGCCCCTGCCCCTGCCCTGGTCGTGGCTGTTTCTCAAACAACGTTCACCATTTTGTTTGCTCTCACGCCCTGCTTCATTCACCATAGAGAGAGGCCACACGTTCGGTTTTATTGCACCTTTTGTTCGCTCTGCCTCTCTCGCTCTGGCCCTTGTTGTGGCTCTCGGCTGCTGCTCGCTCGTTCGCGTAATCGCTGCAATTTACACGCTTACTCACATATCTGCAGATTAACGTGATCCCGTTGCCGCCATGTCAGTTACAGTTGAGTCGCTTGTCGTTTGTAGAAAACAAGAGGAAGGGGAAGGGGGAGAGAACGAGGAAGAGGAAGAAATAAAAACGCAGCCGATATTTGGATTAGGCATTTAATTGAGTATTCAAAACCGGTGTGACCAGCCATGCCAAAGACGGCCGGCTTACCTACCCAGCATGGATTAGTGCATCACACTGGGGTCTCTCGCTCTCTCCCTCTCTCTTCATTAACATATCAATGTCAGGAGCACACAACAACAACGACAACAACAACAACAACATCAACTAATAACAACAAGAGGGATGTTGTTGCTGCTGCTGCTGATTTCGATTTGATTTTGAGCTGCGTCAGCGTAAATTCGCTTAAATTTTTAACAAGACAAATACGCAAAGCTCACATCTGCACTTACACACACACACAAACACATTCTCATGTACACATACACACACACATATGTACTTATATATGTATTGGCGTGGCACACTCTATAGACCAAAAAACAATCTCGCAACAGAAACTTTTCTAATTTTGCACAGCGCACTTTTTGCCGTCGGCGCCATTTTTGCGAAATGAAAACAAATCGAAATCGAAATCAGCCAAGAAGCAGGAATCAATAGCAAGTGCAAAGGCAATCCAAAGAATAAGAAGAAGAGGGAGAACGAGAACGAGAATGAGACTACACGCGCGGTTGGAAAAGTAGAAAAACCTTTTATTCCGCTATGTTTACATAGTCTTCGTCATCATCCTCTTCGTCCTCCTCTGCTGTTCCAATTGAACTTTTTCTCATGGCTAGCATAATAAACGAATGAAAAATGTAAACGTGGCCAAGCAATTCCAAATACTTAGACAAGTTAATTTAATTTTTTATTTAAAATTCAATCTACGAACTAAAACAAAAAGTTCGAACAACAACAACAACCGCTACAAAGCGTTACAAGTTGAACTTCCAGTTGGGTCAAAAAAAATCAGAGGAAAGCGGAAAAAGCGCAATCAAAAAAGTAGAGGAAGAAGTTATAGGAAAAAAAACAAGCTACTGTAGCTTTGCCAAAAAGCAAAATTAAGTGAAGCAAAACTTTTAAGCTTATTGAGGCGCACATAGGGCATGAGTGAGAGCACACTTGATTAAGTAAGTATTGTGACAAAATTATTCATTCCATTTGTAGCATTTAAAGTTTTACAATTTTTACTTTGAACAATTTCCCATTTCACAGTCCATTAAAAACCATCTTCTTCCTGATATCTAGGACTCGAGAGTAAGGAGCTAGTAGATGAGCTCACGAAAGGATCCGATCCAATTATGTATACTTTAGGAAGAACGCAAAATTATGTTCACCATATAATATGTTTATATGTATATCAGAAAAATCAGATACATACGATGAACGCATTGATGTCTATTGTCTGTTGCCCGACGTCTTCAAAAAGTTCTCTTAATGCTGGACATTTCTTTGCAACATTATAGGTTATACCAACAAGCTTTTCAATACCTTATCCTAAAATGTTTTAAGCTGTAAGTCTGATCAGGCTGACTTTAGCTGATTTGACAAATTTGATATATATTTAAAATAAATTTTATCAAGAATTAATTAATTAAGGTCGAGGGTTTTATTAGGTTTAAAATAAATTACTTGTTCGTTAAAAACATTCTTAAATCGATATGAATTTACACAAACAAGCAGTTCAACATGTAAATATATCTGGAAACATTAACTTCGTATGATAACTTCTCATATATAATTCTAAGCAGCCCCTGATTCTTTCAGATTTTGTGCTAAAATATTAATAAATAATGAAGAATTAATAAGCCAGCTCTATTCAGCTAATTTGTATACCACTTTTATCAATCAGTCCACAATTTTCCACAAACTGAAAGTGTTTAGAAGCTTGGAGTCTATTTCATGACTCTACAGATGAAACAAACAGAAGGATAATTGCACATCTATTTCTTAAGTATTTGCGATATCAAAATTTCCCCACCCCATAAAATGTGGTTGCAATATTTTTAGCAACTACTGTATCGCTGTGTGTGTCGCATTCCCGACGGAGTTGCCGCTTTGGATTGCTGGTATTGTTCGCTCAGTGCCAGCCCGGCCATATAAGAAGTTCAGTGCAAAGGCAAATAGTAGCGCACATGTCGTTCAAAACTACACACATGCACTAACACACACACACACACACTAACAAACACACACACTCACACTAACACATTCAGTTCGACACACGCATGAGTTGGAAATTTTCAGTAACTGTCAGCTACGCTGACTATTAACGCTCCAATGGCTGGGACTGGCAGTGCCCTTTGCCCTTTGCTCTTTGCTGTGGTACGTGTCCTTTTGCTGGCACTGACTTGCTTAATTATTCAATAATTTCTAAAAGCATTGGCAACATTCGTCGTTGGATGAAAATCAGCTCGAAGCAAACTCAAGCAGCTTGCACATGTCGCACAGATCCTTTCATCCTTTTACCATCAGAGAGCTTACATGCATGTATGTGTGCTTGTGTTTGTGTATGTGTGTGTGTGTGTATGTGATGGGGACATGCACTTAATCAGTTGGATACATATGTATGTACATGTGTGTGTGGTGTGTGTTTGTGTGAGTGTTGACATTGGGCACATGCCAGACTTTGGTTGCCTCATATTTCTTCCAAAAAGCTTGCCGTTTTACGCTTCATTCATTCAACAGAAGCCAAACATTGAATGCTACACACACTATACATACAAATTTATGTACATATGTATACTCGTGTATGTTATAGTTGTTGCTGTTGCTATTGCTGCTGTGACTAAAACAAGATGAAATTTCAGTGCATTTATCATTAGTTGCGGTTAAGCTTTTGTTGCTTTACGAGCATGCGACCCCCGAAGACATTCTGGGAATTACGCTTCGGCTTGTTTGATGTGGAAACTTTAGATTAAAATATTTTCATATGCACAAATAAACACACGTCTATATACATACAGCATGTAAGTAAATTAGTATATATGTATACTTGTATGTACCAACCTTCACGTATTGTCTAATAACAAGAGTTTCACTCTTGACTTACGTTCTTGAAGTTATGGCGCTTTCAATGAGATAATATATACGTAAGACAAGTCCAAATTGAAAGAATGGCTGCTTTAGCATATTTAAAAAAAAAATAAATAAAAAGCAAAGGCAAAAAGCATTTGTTACACCCAGAAGCTAAAATGTTAATGTACTACAAGTATGTATAAGTCTCATAAACCGTGCCAGAACAAAACCAATGGAAAACCGTAAAAGGAATTCCTTTGACATACGTTTTGTATATATGTATGTAGGCAATAAACATTATATATGTATGTATCTTAGTTTAAAGGGGGTTTTTAAAGTAACATAATTCTCTTCTGTTAGTTTTAAGATTGTAATCTTAAGCTAGCATTATATAAATAAATAAAATACATATTTACAAGTATACATGTGTATTATGAATTTTAAGTACATGTACCATATGGTTTAAGGTAATAATTATTTATTTACAAAAAAAAATCATTATCAAAAAATATACAAAACACAATTAATGCAAAATCCATATTTTCTTTTCACAAAAAGCTTAACATTTTTAATTAAACCTAGCCTAAACACTAAGCATTTCATAACTTTTAATATTTACAATTTTAATACTAATAACGAGTATAAGAATATAAAAACTTTTGTTAGCAAAATTTATAATAGGAGTATCTTTTAATGTAGAGTTTCAGAAAGGCCAGCTGCACTGAATATCTAAATGAGCCGAATTACAAATATGTATATTTGATTAAAATAGCAGAAAATGTCAACAAAGAATAAATAAGACATTTCTTTTTATTATGGCAACAACAACACATGAACAACATGTTGTTCTTCCTTATTTTAATCGGATAATGTGTTTTCCAGTCAAAACAATGATTTGAATTTATATGTTAAGTTAGGTGTGGAGCGCACATAATGGGAAACCATGTGAGTGTTATTTTGTATTTATCAAGATAGTTCGGTAACTGTTTCTAGTTAGTTCCGTGGTATTTGAAGGGCCTTATCTATTCAGCAATTCCAAAAAAGAGTTAATTATTGTTAAAGCGCTTCATAACTGTCTCTCACTATGTAAAGTTTCATCAAAATCGGTATCATATAGATTGTTTAGATACTCTCATTAATATCTGTAATATCCATGACATTGCAATAAATCGATTACTGGCTTCCCTGAACCTTCAATTATGCGCTGCATTTAATGCTGTACTTTTTAGACGCACATTATACTTGTACATCTAGTATTTAAGCAGCTGCATAAAGCATCTATCTATCTACAAAATGTAAATCCTTAAGCGCACATTTCTCTGCTCTCCACTACAGCCCACAAGCCTAGTAAATGCCTGCAGCTAATCACAAAATGGCGAACTTTTAACCTGAACATCTAATCAAGTACCCAGAATACTCGTACTTGCCACTTACCACTAACACTTGCAACACAGCAGCAGCACAAGCCGTCTTTTACATAGCGTTGCTGCAAAGCCATCATGTACATTGCCCTACATAAAGCCCCAAAAGCCACACATAGATCCACCCTCCAACAACCCCCAACAGACGAGCACACAGACACAATACAGACGCACAGTTACAATAAAGATGATGCTGAGATGACGACGCGACGGCAGGGCGCCAGTCGAAAGCGCGCGCGCTTGCTCGCTGGTTCCCTGGAAGAAGCGAGGATTGAGCGCATAATGATGTTTATGTGTTGCCAAAAACATAAAAGCATTAATTTAGTCATTATCTTCTTAAGATATGGCAGCGCAGCGTTGAAGCTTCTGCTGTTGTTGTTGCTGTTGCTGCTGCTGCTATCGCAACCGCTGCTGTCGACGTCGCGTGCTGAAGGCGTCCAAAAACACATAATTTGCACATTATCATCGGCAACATTTTTGAAGCTGCCGCACGGGTAGGAGCAAACGAGATAGCAAGAAATGCGCGTTGTTGGTGGCTGCTGACGGAAGGGAGTGGTGCCGTCCGGGGGTCCGTCAGTGATGACTTTATCTGTATAAATAACTGTCAGAAAGGAAGGAAAAAAAGGGAAGGCTGCAGAGCGACGAGCAACGAAACTGGCCCAAAAGACAGCTATGCAGCTGTGCAACGCCCACGCGACATCGACAGCAGCAACAATAACAACAACAACAAGGGCAAACAGAGCCACAGCACAGACAGCTGAGCGTCTTTGAGGTTAAACTCGCCATCTTGCAATACATGTACATGCGTATGTGCATAACTCATGCTGTTGTTAACGGTAAATGAAGATGTTGCTATCAGCTAGCTATGGGCGGCAACCATGACAGCAACCCTCCAAGCAGCAAACAAAGAGAGCGCAACCCTGCAGAGCGGGCGCATAGAGAGAGAGAGGGAGAGAGGGCGAGCGAACGTACACATTCAATATGGTAGCCAGAGCGAGGGCGTGTTTAAGTCCAAAGGCACGTAAGCCGCTGATTGGCTGACGATTCGCTCGATATGAAAATGTCCGTTAGGAAGAGAACTGTGTGTGTGTGTGTGCGTGAGAACACGTTTGACAACTTGTCAAGCAGTTCGGGCTCGACGGTGGCTGCGCAGTCTGGTCAGCAGCCACGCACATTCAAAAGTGTTTCGGACTTTGAGCGAACAAGAAGGGTTCAGCATCAGCAGCAATTGCCGTCGTCATTGCAGCCACAGTTCAGGCAATATTCGTGCGTGTGTGTGTGTTTCGAGCCCTTAATAAATGTATGTAAATGTGTGTGCATGTGTGTGGCAGTGCTAATTAAAGTTAAAGACCGCAACTGAACGTCCGAAAAATTTTTAGAAAAGTTCTTGTGCTAGTGCCAGAAAACTCTATCAAAATTCTGTCCTCACTGTGGACCACGCCAGCCCAACTTGTGGGCGGCCTGGAGTCCAAGAGCGGCCAGTCCAACAACAACAACAACAGCAGCAGCTGCAGCAGTAATTGCAGCAGCAGTGCCGGCATCATTACCGACAAGCACACCAAGTTTAAGCTAAGCATTGTGAGCACACCGAGTCCGTCGCCCACATCGCCGCCACCAACACCACCAGCGTCAACAACAACACTCACTATGGTAGAAACAGCCTCACCACCCGCGGGTTATGCCCTCAAGCGATGTGCAGCCGTAGCGGCTGCCATCAATGTGCGTGGCGATCTGAGCGAGCAACAATTGCAACAGCATCAGCAACAATTGCAGCAGCAGCTGCAGCAGCAACATCAACAGCAACAGCAGCACCAACAACAATCACTCACGAGTCTGTCACGCACGCCTCGATCACTCTCTCCTAGCAGTGCCAATGCTGCCTACTTGACTACCGCCATGTTGCTGAACTCCCAGCAATGTGGTTATCTGGGCCAGCGCCTGCAATCGGTTTTTCAACAACAGCAACAACATCAGCAGCAACCGCAGTCGCAGACGCCCAGCTCTGATGATGGCTCACAATCGGGCGCCACCATTATGGATGATGAGCGTCCCAGTGCCCGTCTAACTGGAAATGTTGCTGGCAACTCCACCGCCGCAGCTGCTGCGGCTTCCCTCTTCACCATCGACAGCATTTTGGGCTCACGCAATGTTGCCAGCAGCAGCGGCAGCAGCAATAACAACAACGGCAGCAATCTTAGCAGCCAACATAACAACAGCATCAGTGGTAACCACAACAACAACAACAACAACAATAGCTTAGGCTGCATAGGCAGCTTAAAACGCAGCACCGACTCACCCGCCTCACCCAACTCCAATTCGAGCTCCAGTGCCGCTGCCAGTCCCATCAGACCGCAGCGGGTTCCTGCCATGTTGCAGCATCCTGGCCTGCATCTGGGACATCTGGCAGCGGCAGCAGCCAGCGGCTTTGCAGCATCGCCATCGGATTTTTTAGGTGAGTTTACCATCTGAGTCACTTTTTTCCGTCATTCTCTTTGAAAACATTATGACATTAATATGACTTGCAACTTTTCGTACTTACATTTTATATTCCAAAAGTCTTATGATAAGGAAATAAGTTCACATTTAATTCCTCTAAGAACTGTCTGCATATCACTTGATATTTGTTGTTTTCTTTCTGTAATTATATCTGCTTTGAAAATGTTAAGAGACAATAATTCTTACATTCCATTTTAAATAACTAACTCGATTTAAGTCCCACCTTCGACATTTTAGGGCTAAAATGTTATGAGACAATAATTCTTACATTCCATTTTAAATAATTCTCCTTCGACATTTTAGGGCTAACATTGATGCGATTTATCTTTTCCTATTTGAAAAAGTTAAAGAAACCCGAGTTTGTGCTTTAAGGTCTGAGCTGTGATAAGTTGGCTTGTATTGAAATGCTTATCATTCAAATGGTTGTCTAGAAAACGAGCCCATTTTTTTCATAAACCGCCACCCAACCAGCCAACTTTATGAAGTGGGGGTAGGGCAACCAGGACGACGGCTCGCCTCGCCTCGCCTCGACTCCACCACTCCATCGCTCCAGTCGACCCGACTCGACATTCCTGTGGTTTCACTTTAGCTGCAAACACCTTAAGGTTATTTTCGCGCTGATTTCCAGCTGTGCGTAGCTGCGGATCTTTTAACGGATTTGTGCAGCGTTCGGAATTGTATGTGAATATGGATGTCGATTGAATGTACTTAGACTACAAGCTCCCCTACAATCCCCACCACCGTTGCCCGCTTCTTCTGCGTTGAATGGCATTATTCGTAATTAGGCAATGATCCGTGAAAGATGATTTTGCATTCCATTCGCTTTTGCGGTGAGAGGATTTGCATTTGCTCTTCAGTCACTCAGCCAGTCAATCGACGAGGGTGGAGTCGGGTGGTGTGGGGTTAGGGGTTGGCATAGCTTATGTTATGTCTTATGTTGATTCGAGCGTGCTTTTCACGCAATTTTCTGGCGCATTTTTATGCAAGCGTGTTTACAGCTTTAAAAAATTCAAAAGCCCGAAATGAAACTCAACATCGTCGGCCTTGGCATGCGATGAATATTAAAATGAGAAGTACGAGCAGCGGCCGCCACGCTTTTTTCCAATTCCCTCTTTTTTTGTCCAGAGCTGCTTGTAAATGGATGCGGAAATGCTGTAACGCAAATATGAAGTCTGCTTTGTTATGCGCATTTTTAAGGATTTACCGACACAGCTAGCTACATCACAGCCCATAAATATGTACATAACATATATACATACATATATGTACATATATTCAATAAGTTATATGAAACCGCACAAGTGCCGCCCAATTGAAAGCGATACTGTTAAATTTCATTTCAGTTTTAGACGCCTGAGCGATTAATTAAAAGCAAGTCAGTTCTTAAGTTATAATTAGCAGCTTGTAGTTTTACATTTTTTGAAAGTATATGTAGAGCTCGAACTTTAAGATTTATCCACGTCAATTATAAATCCAGACCATTTTTAAAGTAATAAAAAATAATCCTACACACAGAGTTTAGTTGTTCCTTAATGGCTATATAATACAAGTAGTAACAACTTTGATATTACAATTCGAAGTGTTTAAATCCAAAGAGAGTATTAGCACTCTTTTTCTCATAACATTGAATCGGAAAGGTCTGTGATTTAAGCCAGCTTAGAAATGAATATGATTGTTTTAATTGCTTTAGAGATACGTGCTTTTGTCGCTTAACATGTAATGCAAATTTCCAAGATCTTACATGACTTATAAATTAATTAAATGATTTTTAAAATATAATTGAGTTTTGAAATATGTATAAATTATACATTTATTATACAAACAAACTGTTTGTCCTGACTGGCTGACAACGCACACCCCAAAACGATAAGATATCGGAATTGGAAATTTGGACTCGCTCTTAAGATTGCAGTAAAAATCTGTATTTTTTAACTTATTGATTTCTCTCTATGAATAAATACTTGCCACTCATAAAAGACTTCGTCTCATATAGAACCAAAGTAGAACGATCAGATACTAGATACTGAAAAGATAACTGATAGATAATTTTAGTCTATTTTTAATTCAAAATATCGATTTAAAAAGGGAAAAATGGATAAAGTTGTCTATTAACCACGCTGTTGTGCTGTTTATTAACAATTGAACAAAATGCACAGCTAGGCAAAAAAAAAAAGTACACGTTTTCAACATTTAAGTTTCTTAATAATAAATGAATACAAATCAATATTATGACTAAGTGTAAACAATCAATCAAACAACCAATTTAAAAATAAACAAATAAAACTAAAATAAACGAACATTTTAAGATGAACGGGACTCTGAACAATCTCGCGGTTATTTTTGTCGTACAATAATTGTTATTTATAGAGACACATGTAGAGCTTCTTCTTCTTCGTCTTTGTATGAATAATATAAGAGTATATGCACAGATGGTACTATAGTAGTGGTATTTCATATTACGCTTCAATATCCTTATGTCATAAAATACTGAAAGTTGGGGTTTATGAGATATGATTCTTCAAGAACCTGAACAGACCTACCTACCAGCTTTCCAGCTTTTGGTCGCAAAAACTAGATTACAAAGAGTAGTCTGAGTGGTCTTCACACGGACTACATCCTGCATAAATCTCTTCAAAGCTACGGGAAGAGAGGCTATAAAATCTTGCAATTATATCAAGAAGCTAATGTTTAATCAATCGAACACAATCGCAATTCGGCTGGCTATATTGAAGCTGCTTTAGATTCCCCCCTCTTTCAATCCCCCTTACATTTTCAGAAAATCAGTCAACTACTTAGTATGCAAATATGTTGATTCTCTCACCATGGAATAGAAGAATGTTCTACACCTGTTAGTTGCTCTAAATCAAATCGTTATAATGCCAGAAATTATTAAGCTTGACATAAATAAAAATCATAAAAAAACGCTCTCTTAATATTGTATTTTTCTCACTCTCCCCATTTTTTATAGTTGCCTATCCCAACTTTTATCCGAACTATATGCACGCAGCCGCTGTGGCTCATGTGGCTGCTGCCCAAATGCAGGCGCATGTGAGCGGACATGGAGCCGCGGCAGCCGCTGGCCTGGCCCATGGCCATCATCCGCATCATGCACATCACCATTTGGCGGCTCATCATGCTCAGCACCATTTGAGTCATTTGGGGCATGGACCGCCGCCGAAACGAAAGCGCCGGCATCGCACCATATTCACGGAGGAGCAGTTGGAGCAGCTGGAGGCCACCTTCGATAAGACGCATTATCCTGATGTGGTGCTGCGCGAGCAGCTGGCACTGAAGGTTGATCTGAAGGAGGAGCGTGTGGAGGTAAGTGAAGAGAATTGAGTTTACAAATTTCACGCTCGTTTTAATGCGCTGTGCGAAACCAATTGAGTGCACGCCTTCCCCTTGCCACAGACACGAATCCTTCTATCTGCTCAGTATCTGGGCAATCCGCAATCCTCTGTGCGTCCTCTGTGTGAACTTTGAATTGTTTATTTAGTTGTCAGCGTTTAGCATTTGCCGGGCTTCCGACAACAACCAAAACAATGCCATGAATCACTTAATTTCAGTAATGGGACTGCGATGGGTTGCTTGGTTAGTTGGTTGGTTGGTTGGTTGGTTGGTTGTTTGGTGGCGGCTCGGAAAAGGCTCTTCTCGACTCAAGTTTGAGGTTATGCCGACGTATCATTGCCAAAGTAAACACAAATGCCGAGCGTATGGCCGAGCCAAAGCCTAACCCCGGGCAGTGCTTACAACCAACCCTCCCCGCTTCCACACACACACATACATTAGGCAAATCAGTGGCAAAGTTACTCTCATTCTTCCCCATCTCCTCCTCTCTTGGCCGCTTGCTGCGCGCCTGTGGTTGCCACGACTGTGTATCTTGTGGGCTGCAATTGAAAGTCCATTAGTGTGTGTTGATGCCAGGGAAAAAGGGAAAACCCCAAAACAGCACAAAATACATAAATAAACAAACAAATTTTCGGAAACAGGGTGTGTTTGTCTCTCTGTGTGTGTGTGTGTCGCAAATCAGACGACAAAAAGTTGACAATTTAATTTGTAAGCAATTTATTGATGGCGCTGATAGCAACACCAAGCTATTTCCTCTCTTTGTTGTTGTTGTTGCTGATTAACAGTCAAATGTGGCAGGCAGCTTTTGGCACAAACACATGCACATTAAGAGCCTTTGATAAGGATTAATGAGGCACAGTGGATGGAAATTGAAAAAAAAGGGTCGACCATTTCAAACTCTAAGTTTTTCAGGGGAAAATGTAAAGGAGGCAGTAAAGTACTAGAAATTATTAGGTTAATAGGTTTAAAAAAAACATATATACATATATTTATATATGTATAAAATTTTTAGACTTAGGTGTAATTCTAAACTACAAATATTCAATAAATAAAATAAATAAAATTATTTAGTTTAAGGCACGGTGGCAAGATATTTCAAAGGTTTTGAATGGAAGCTTAGGAGATTAAAAGCATTTAATAAATTGAAATTTAGATAGAATTTAAATATTTATTTATTTAATAGAACAACAAATAGTACTGTCAATACAGATTACTAATATTAAGTTATAATTTAAACATAAAATAATAAGAAAGCCTCAAAGAAAGCCAATACTCGTCTTAGCGTTTTCAAATTTCAAATAAGCAAATGTTTTCATTGAACTAGCTATTTCTTTTTCAAACCCTCTTTTCTAAATCGCACATTATGAAAACATAATAATAAAAGTTTTTCTTCTATAATTACAAACTAATGGTATGATAAGCAAAGCATAAATTGTTTTGTCGAATTTCATGAATGAATTCTACGTACAGTTTTCTTGGGGATTAAGTTCTTAAAATAGTCAGATGTTGTTCGAAGATGTTCCAAATATTTAAAAAAATTTAAAGCTACCATTTAAGTTAATGTTGACAGCCTTCCAATTATTTCCTTTTTTCTGTGCATTTCAATGTTCAAATTGTCATCCACTGTGCGACTGCGAATCTGTTTCGTGTCTCTGATAAGGATTAGCGAGGCTAGCTTTTCCTGGTCTTGCTGTTTCCGTTGCCTTGGCAATATGCTGCCGGTCAATGTTTAAGCTGCAATTGAGCCAACACCAACCCAGCTAGTAGCCCACCCCTTAAACCAGGCAAGTGCTTATCGCTGTTGACATTTGCTTGTTTGTGTGTGTTTGCCACGTTTATGGAGCAGGAGTTGCTTTTGCTTTTGTTGTTGCTGTTGACATTGCAAAGGGTTTTGGGCGAGTAAGTAGACGTGCGTTGAAGATAACTCAGCATATCGGGAGAGTGTGTGTGTGTGTTGGGCACATTATTATAAATTGAACTGCAAACTGCGCCCGCGGCTAAAACTTAACGCGCCTCTTCAGAACAAGGCGACAGTTTTGGCCGCAGGCACGAGAGAACTAAGCGGATTAATGCCCAAGCTTGCAACAGAGTAGGTTGATTAAATGAATGATTGAATGAGTGAATGAATAAACATGTTGCACACAAAATTGTAGCTGATAAGCCTGCTGACTAATTGAAATTAAAATAATGAAGGCAGAAATTTGAAATTGAAAATGTTTATGTATATATTTTTTTGTTAAGAGTTTTTTTTATTTTTGCTGCATCAGGCAGTGAAAGAGGCGCATAAACAAAACGCTTAATTAACATACAAGCAACTCAACTTCAACTTCAAACTTGTCTCTGACAGACGCACAAATTTAAATTAACAGCAACAACAACAACAACAATAATAATAATAATAACAACAACAACATTAGGCAAGCTGTGGGCAATATGTTAAAATCCGTTGCGACCTAGCCATAAATCCCTGTAAGTCTTCTGCGAAGTCATCGTGCGATGTCTTCGTCTGCGTCTGCGTCTGCTTCATCTCCATCATCTTTATCTTCGTCATTGATTTAAGCAGCATAATCAACTTCAGCAGCGTCTTCATCTTGGCTTTAGATGCCTGCCTGCCTGCTTGGCTCTTTGCTCATTCACTCACTAACCGCTCACCACTACAACAACAAGAGGAGCAGGAGAAGAGCTTGAGGCCACTCCACGGCTGCCGGCTACTGCTACTGTTTAGCATATTTGCATGCAAAGTGTTGCCACTTCAACGTTTTGGGCCTGCCGCACGCCCATGCCCCAGCTCAATAGGCACAGTGGTGCATTTTAGATATGAAAAAAGTTTAACAAATTTTATTAAAGCCAACAAATGGCTTTCTTCAACAAAAATTAACCTTAGAGAACAACAGAATACAACTAGGGATTGCATACTTTTGTGATTCATTGTAAAGTTTTACTGCGTATTCTATGAATTAGTATGAATAATGACTTGATTTTTCAATCTAACATAACATAGAAATAATTATTGATTCAAGTACATGGTTACAATTTTGAAACGAAAACCATCAAACATTTTGGGCGAACGGGAATTCCAGAAACGGGGCCTGCTATTTATTTTGAATTTCATTTTAATTAAATTTAAAATATTTTTATACAAGAGTCTATCTGGAAATTCAAGAACTTATTCTAGATTTTCAAGAATATTCAACTTGAAATGAAAGGGAATAATAATCAACATAATTAAAAAAGTTTAGAGACATTAATGCTCAGCTTTCACTTTTAATTAAAAAAAGTTAATAATCATGAACTCAACTATAATTGAAAATATACATTATAGGATAAGTCAAATTTATTACTACTTCCTTTTGGCGAAATGCATTAATAAAAGCGGTGGCAGATCTAAGAACAGGGAATCAGTTATCTTAAGGATCAGTTTGCCAAAAACTAACCAATGAAATATTATCATCCCAAAGGGTTTATTATCGTTCCTCTGAAAGTAGAATAATTGTAAGAAAAAGTATTTATTATCTACGGACTGCATGATTATTCAATATCTCTGCAATAATCACGCGTCAATTCAAACTTATGATCCGATTTGGCGCGCGCATCATGAAAGGACATTTTTGATGGATTACTGAATGCAGCCCTAAAATGACTTTGACTTTGTTTGCATGTAAATTATAATACCCTTTTGTGTAATGCTGCCGGTAAATGGAAAGCAGCACCTCACCGACATCATCAAATGGGAGCTGCATCAGTGCGAAATTGACATTATTGTTAGACATCCACCTTGCGTCCAATTAAAGTTCGCATTAGTTTGAAACTTTAGTTTCCTAAAACTATATATTAGATTTACAAGTGGATTAACGGCTTCGGAGTTGGGCAAACACCAAAGCCTTTGTCATTTAAATGACTTCAGATCATGGTTCATTTGTCATTGAAATGTCTTCAGATCATGGTTCTCTTCTTCATCAATGGCCTTTAATTTTATTCGTTTCTTATCGCAATATGAAACCACTGTGCCATGGTTGGGAGCTCTGCGCACTGGCAATGCCATAAGTGGCAATAATTATTGAAAATCTTGCCGCAGACAATAATAATAACAACAACAGCTCAACACTGCGTATGCGCAATGAGTTCCCAAGCTATCCAAAGACTGGTCGCTGTCGTTCGCATTCTTCGTCTGCCTCTTTAAATGATCTGCTTATTTTGACTTCATAATTTACAATTATTATTTTTATTTAGACACTCGAGTGCCACAAAACGGGTAAAACAGTAGCCAGAGCCTAAAGACAGAGCCCATTGCTCTTTGTCTTCCTCACTGGCCACTGGCCACTGGCCACTGGCAACTGGCCACACAGAGCAATCAGACGATCTGTTGGGCAGTCAGTCCAGCGAGTCTGAGATCAGTGAGTTATGTCGCCGTGCAAACAAACATTTTGGTGCGTTCGAGCGCAGCAACTCAAATACGACTAATCCCGCAGCTCAAGTGATTGAGGTGATTTCGATTTTCTGATTTTCATGCGCACAGCCTCAGTCTCAGTCTCAGAGTCAGACTCAGACTAGTAGCTCGAGAGTAAGGCAAAGACGAGTCAATAAACGTTTCGAGCACAGCGCAAATATTTATTTTTGTTGTCGTCGTCTCAGTCAACGTCATTGTCGTTGGCTGAGAAATTTATTAGTAATCATCAGCATAATATGTGGCGGCTTTGGCTGCTACTGTGTGGGCCACATTGCACTCGAAACTCAAATATTGTTTTTGTGTTAGCCGTAAAAAGAAAGAAGGAGAAATGTGTCGGCATCGCTGCCTGCTGCCTTTAGGAATGTGCGCATTCATTGTGTTAAGGATTTGGTAGCACGCACAAAATACAAATGGCTTGTCACCACAACATCGCATCCTTTTTTTCTTTTTTTTTTGTTTCCTGCCCTTCTGCCCTTTTGATGTTGCACAATGGAGAGCGGCAGCGCAAAAAGGCCACCTGCGTGCC